GTGTCTTTTATTGCAGTATTTTTTAAATTTGTGGATTAGAAACATTTTTATGGCTTTTTGAAGATCTTCTTTTTTAAAAATGTAACATTGTAATCTAAGCTTTAAAAAATGCTGTTTTAGGGCCGGCCCTGTGGCACACTCGGGAGAGTGCAGCGCCAGGAGTGCAGCGGCGCTCTGCCGCGGGTTCGGACCCTATATAGGAATGGCCGGCATGGTGCAGGCGACACGAGACCAAGGGTTGCGATCCCTTTACCTGTCACGAAAAAGACACACACACACAAAAATGCTTTTTTATGTTCTCTATAAGCATTTTAAATAGTTGCCTGGTTTTTCCTCACCATAACCTTTAAACCATATTTCATTATCTGTAGCTCAAGGTAGCAATATTTCTGGTTCTTGAGGCATGAATACATTTTAATGCCTGTTTCAGAAAACAAGCTAAGTTGGGAGAAGTGTGAAGGCAAGAAAAACATGACTAGTAATTTTTTCACCAAGTGGCTTTTAATTTTTTTACATAATTCCCTTCAGAGTTGTTTTGTGATATTTTTAAAGCATAGTAGAGAGCATACTTATTGTACAGTTTCATATCCTGCTTATTTTCCATTTTGCATTATATTATAAACATGTTAGCTTATTTTAAGCTCTTGGTAGATATATATATATATATATATATATATTTTTTAAAAAGATGACTGGTAAGGGGATCTCAACCCTTGCCTTGGTGTTGTCAGCACCACGCTCAGCAAGTGAGCCAACCGTCCATCCCTATATAGGATCCGAACCCGTGGCCTTGGTGTTATCAGCACCGCACTCTCCCGAGTGAGCCACAGGCCGGCCCTCTTGGTAGATATTTTTAAGGGTTAAGTGGCATCTGATTATATGCTGTGCTATTTTTTTAACCAGGTTTCCAAGTGTTAAATATTTAGATATTTCCTACTTTCCATTAGTGTAAATAATATTGTTTTGAATATTTTTATTCTTAAATCTTTACCTGACTTGTAGATTATAGTATAGGATTGATTTCTGCTAGTGAAATTCATGAGCAAAGGGTGCGAACCTTTTTGAAAACTTCATTTATAAACAAATGTAGGGCATGGCCCATTTCAAATGATAGTCATGTAATGGCCTTGCTTTAGCAGGATAGTTGATTATTGTACTGTCTTAAATCTGAGATATGGCTAATGCTGTTAATTGGCTGATTTTTATGGGTATAACTGACTCCATTCTAAGTAACACTGGAGTTTTAAAAATGGGGATAATCCAGTCCATTTTCACGATTATACTTGATTTTCTCAAAAAAGTTCCAGTAAAGCTGTAACATAGTAAAATAATCAATTTGAAATATGCCCTTCCATCACAAGGTTAATTTGATGCAATTTATAAAAATGCAGCATTACTGATTCTGTTTGTTGTTCTAACATTTGCCATAAAATAGTACAGGATTCTTAGGAATCTTATAATAGATTAATGTGGCAGGCTAAACAATCCTGAAATATAGGACAAAACTTGTGAAAACAAATGCATGCGGAATCTTAGCAGTGAATTAGTTGAGCTGGTGCAGCATCCAGCTATGCTGGTGTTGATGGACAGTTTTAAATTCAGCAGGAGAAAGTTATTTTATGAGGGTATTTCCAAAAGCTCTTGGAAAAATGGAATTAAATGATAACACAAATCTTTCCATCAACTTTTGGAAGCACCATTGTGTTTACCTTTTCTGGACATTTCGTGGAATCATAGTGTGTGGTTTTTTGGGAATGGCTTCTTTAGTATAATATTTTCAAGGTTCATAAATTTTGTAGAACGTATCAGTACTTTATTCCTTCTTGTTGTTGAATAGTATTCCATTGTACGGGTGTACCACATTTTATTTAACCATTCATCTGGGAAACAGCTGTATGCATAAAAACTTGGAGTGATTTTGTTGACTGGTACTTTTAAAAAAATTAAAACATTCAGTTATTCAGTGCCCCACTTAATTAAAAACATGTCCCCAATTCATTAACTTTGAGTGGAAGTTTGATGTGATGAAATGCGATGGAGACAACCAACCCATCACAGTGAAGCCTAAGAGCAGTTAGCAGAGAGCATCCTGGGAAATAGGAGGGACTGAGCGGAGAACATAAAGAGCTGCACTAAAGCAGGTGCCCCTTTCATTTTGCAGGAATTACCATATAGCCAAGCAAGGATAGGAAGCAATGGACAACCTTAGGATGACATGGTTATAAATCAGTGTCTCAGAGTGTGCCCACCACAAGCTAAAGAGTAGATTTGTGTGCTTGGCCAAGTGTGTTCTCTTGATCCACCAGTCCTGACTGACCTGGATTTGAATGGCAAATTATATAAGAACTCCTGAGGTGCATCTTTCATAAAAATGTACATCAAATTCAAAATCTGAGTTCTGTGGGGAGGGACCATTTTGGTCACATGCTCCATAATAGCCAGGCATATAGTGCCGAGTGCAAGGGCATCTCACAGCAAGAGGGGACAGCATGAACATCAGATCATTAACAGAGAGAGTGGCAAGTGCTACAGTAAAGGAAGGCTTCCTGGAGGAAGGGGTACTAGAGCTAAGTCTTGAATGACAAGCTCAGGTGAAATGGGGAGGTAAAAAGGGGACATGGGGAAGATGCTAAGTAGAATGGCCTTCAGCAAGGCAGGAGTCATAATGAGTTAATTATGAGATTAGTATCCACCTGGGTTTTTCTGCTGTGTTAGGTTAATTGTGACCTGTGTGCATCTGGGAGGTAGTACTGATGCAACCCAAACCTTGAGGACTGGGTTTGTGCAGTTCGCCTACATTCCATTCTCCTTAGGGGCCAGGTTTTATCTAGAGCTTGCCTGGTGGTTACTGACCTGTGCATTGGAGCCAAGCAAACTGATGGGGATTGTTAGGTTGATTGTTGTATTTTGCAGACCATTCTTTTAAAGGTTAGAGGTTTTGGTTAATTACAGAGAACTCTGAACACAGCCCAGGGTGGTTTTTTTCTTTTCCCCCTGAGACAGGGCCCTGTCCATTTTGCTATATGCCACTATTTTGGTTATTGTGGAATTTAGATAGTTTTGGTGACTGTCCCAGCTTTCAGGAAGCTCTCAACCATATGCCTGCATGGATATGAAGAGAGAGTAACTAGCATATGCACATGTAATATCTAAGAGTGACATCTGCCCAGCAAAGAGTGTTGTTTCAATGTTGGGGAGTATTCTAGGACCCATGGTTCAGGGTTAATCACCCATTTATTTACCTACCCACTGGAAAAACATTTGTGAAGCACACACTGTGTACCAGGTATCGAGCTAGGGGATCCGGGAAAGACAAGATAGGAGGTGCAAACCAAATAGTGTAGTTGAGGGGAAGTATTAGGTTTGGGATACCAAGTAGGCTTCCTCTTGTGGAGCGCCAACTTGATCATTTGGCAGTGGTAGCTTAGGCTGCTGGGATGGATTCATGATGTCTGTCACAGTCATGGAAAACAGAGTAAAGGCACGAATGCTGTCTATTTGCTGGTGCTGTCTTAGGGTTGCTTGGTATAGACAGAATCACTTGAATAAAGATTGGGTATGGGCATGAGAGGACTTATATCTTAGAATAAAGGATGTTTGTCATGGTGGTATGGGGTATAGTAGAAACTACATTGGATCAACACGGGGTTGGGTGGGGCTCATCATGCACTATCTTTAGGAGATCACTTAAATGTCTTTAAGCCTCAGTTTCTTCAAGTGTAAAATGGAGATAATAATACCTGCCTCACCTATATCATAATCTTGATGGGAGAAGCTCGTGAAATAATGAGTATGACAATGTTTTACCACCCACAGAATGATAAACACCTGGAGTATTATTGCTACAGGTATGGGGGTGGGTGCAGCAGGAAATACCTGCAGTTAGGCAGGGTTGAGCCAGATGGTAGTTACCTCAGGGCCTTTGCAGTGGGCCCCACTGTTCAGCCTGCTGCCTTTTGTCATATCCAGGTCATAACTCTAAGGCTAACACTATTCAGTCTACAGAATCTAAGTCTATTCTGCCTCATCTCCACCTACCACCTCATTCTGCTTTATTTTCTTCAAAGTCCTCATTAACTAAAATGGCTTGGTTAGCTTTTTTGTGTATCTGCCTCTGCTAGAACCATGCAATTGTGGTGAGGCAGAGACCTTGCCTGTCTCGCTCCTACCTTTGAGCCCAGAATAGTGCCTGGCACATGTCGGGTGTTCAGGGTTTCTCGATGTTTGTTGCATGAATGAATGGAAGGCTTGCCTCTCAAGTCCATAGATGCAGAGAGGCAGAGTCCTGCAAGGATTACAAGAATCGAGTGTAGTTGCTATGACCCCGTCTTTGTAGACATGTTCCTGAATCTCCTGTTTCTTTGGTTATGGAGAAATACATTAAATTAAATGCTCGGTAATAGAAACTTAATTGAAAATTCTGTCAACTCTGGATCTGAGTTCACAATGTAATTTCTTACAACAAAATAAAGAACAAGAATTGGAATTCATATTTTTTTTTATTGTATGTAACAGGCCATGAAATTATACAATATTTCCAATTTGGCAGACTGGTGAATTCAGTCTCTGAAAATATTATAGTATTCCTTAAACTACATGTGATATGAATTAGAGTTGAAATTTGGGAATTGGATACAATTAACACACAGTCCCTCCCTACTGGAACTGATTTGTTTTTAATTGTTTTTTTTTCCTCCTGCTAGCTGGCACCAATTCCCTTTCCTGTTGTTCCTCTGAATTGTTACTATGCTTTCATGGGTCTGATGACTATGGTAGACTGTGTTGAGGGCATCCCTGAGTTATGTGAAATGAACATAAATAGGGGGTGGTGGTGGATCAGCGCAGGTCAATTACCAAGCCCCTGCCTGGAAATCCAGATGCTCCTGTCTACATCGGGGTTTATACCTGGGGACTCACTCGCTCCCTGGAGATGCTGGGCTGCCACCCTGGTTGCTACTCCCTTCACAGTGTGGATTGATGAGTCACTGGTTCTTTCGCAGGGTAACCTGCCTGTGTGCCCAGTTTGAAGCGGTCCTGCAGCATGGCTTGAAGAGGAGTCGAGGATTAGCACTCACAGCGGCAGCGATCAAACAGGCAGCCGGCTTCGCCAGCAAAACTGAAACAGGTACTGCTCCCCCTGATTCTGGACAGGAGAGGCTTATTGTCTCTCTTGCTCTCTCTTATTTTTATTTATTTTTTAATAGTAGGCAAGGCAGTCATTGTGTGGGACTGGGGTTGAGGGTGTGTGTGTGTGCGTGCACGTGCATGCAGCAATCTTATTTGTAGTCAAAAAAATAATGGCGTTGTCTGGCATCTTAATTTAAATGAGGTTATCATTTGTGCAGAATTCTCAGAGCCACGTGTTAGACACTCCTCTGGGTTCGGGGGCCTGTAGCCAATGTGCTTATTTCACCAATATGGTGTGGCAATTGCTGGGAAATTTAATAATCTGTTTTAATTTAATGCATGGGGATAGCATGGCGTTTCATAATTAAATGTCTTCAACAACAGCAGCAGAAACCCTGCCAGTCTCTGAGCTTAGAGTTCTGCTGTCATCCATTTTAATGTTGTAAAGGCATTTCCCGTATGAATGATAGCGATAATGCTAATAACAACTACTAACACTTAGTTCTTAGTGCAAGCCTGCATTTTGTTAGTCTTTGATATAAATTAACTCGTGTAGTTCTCACGACATCCTGATAAGTAGTAGGGACCTTTCTTATCTCTGCTGTATAGATGAGGAAACTGTTCAAAGTGATTTGCTTTGGTTCTGCACCTTGGAGTGTGTCATGTCATATACAAAACGTCCTATGGAGTCCTCCTCCCCCCACATTCCAAAGAGCAGGTTCTTTCCAACCCTGCTTGTGGCTGCTGCCCCAAAGTTTTGAATCTTTCTTGTCACTGTAATAATGGCAGTGCTACTGCTGAGTGAAATGTGTTATCTTCAGCTAGTTCTTTCACAGCAGGAAGGCAGGCCAGGTTGTGGTTGGTGGAGGTGTCTGAAAATTCTCTGCTAACTGAATCCTTAGCCTCTCTCTCCCTCAAGTTGCTGTCTCTACCTTCTTTCTTCTCAGCCCTTCAACAAATTTTTGATTCCTATTCATCTCACCAGTAGCTCATTTTCAGAAATGACTATTGTTGGTGTCAAGGGACAGCCTCGAGAGAGATTCCTGTCACTGTTCAATTTCCCTCAGTGCTTCTGCGTCTGCTTCATAAAAGAAAGGGACGGAGGGAGCCAGTTCAGAGAAAAGCCAACTTCAGGGGCCTCACCGTGTGTAGAAATCACTGCCAGCTGCCTTGGCCACGTGTGTGTCAGTCTCAAGAGTGTTGCAGTGGCTTCTCATCTCTGGGATGCTTCCGAGCCTCTGCGTGGGGGCGGCTCAGTGTTCTGGGTTGGTTGATGAACTTTTCGAGGACATAGCTTTTCCTAGAAACCCCCTAGACTTCCTGGACTCTCATATTTCATCTCATTTCCATCCTATCTGTCTCAGGGGGAGTGACCTTAGAGGACCTGGTGTGGAGTAAGCGACGAGGCTCTTGGTCTGCTCCCATCCAGCCGAGGGCAGTTGCCGGGCAGGGTGGAGGCAACCCTGGCTTTGGAGTCAGACTGCGAGGGTCTGCCTTGTATGACCTTGGGAAAGTTCCCCTCTCAGCCTTAGCTTTTCTACCTGTAAAGGAGGGGAGTCTTGTCTGCTTGGGGGTTTCAGGAGGATACAGTGAGAACTTCATTTGAAGCAGCTCCTTTAATTCATAACAGCTAATAAATATTTAACCAGTTACCTTCCTCTCCCCAGTACCCTTTTAACTACTCTTTCATCTCATCCCTGCTTAAGGCTCTGACCTTTTTTTTTTTTTTTTTTTTTTTTTTTTTTTTTTTTTTTTTTTTTTTTTTTTTTTTTTATGTCTTTTTTGTCTTTTTCCGTGTCCAGCAACGGATCGCAACCCTCAGTGTTGCCCCTGTACCGGACCGGGGACCGGCAACGGGATTGCAACCCTTGGTGTTGCTCCCGCGCCTTGCTCAGCCAGTGAGCAGGAACCGGTCCGTAAGTGGGATCCGAACCCTCGGGCGGGAGCGCCGCCGCGCTTCCCAAGCGGCGCACTATCCAGTGCACCACTGGGCCGGCCCAAGGCTCTGACCTTTTGACCATGAAGAGTGACTCTTTCTGTTCCCATCCAGACTAGAACACTTCTTGTCTTTTTGTTACCTGGCCCTGATAATCAGAAGCACCAATATGTTTGGAAAGTGTTGGTGTTCTTGCCGCTCCTCTCTGTCTTAGCGTGAGCTCTACACCTGCATTGTGAAGAGACACATGAACGGGCAGTCTCTGGCTATTTTCTGCTGATGTGGATGTGCTGGGTGGCCTCTTAGCCAATTAGGAGAAGGGCAAGGACCAACTAGCTTAGCCCTTAAGTGACTGCCAAGGGCTTTGTTGTCATTGTCAGCAGTGTTAATTAACCATTCACTGGTTGCTACATAGTCCTGATCACAACTTCTTTCCTTCTATTGAATGTTTGATTAAAATCCTCACAGGGTGGGGGACGGGAGGTTTTTCAACTGCTAAGAGCTGGGGAAGATCAGATTAATGGCTTCTTGAGGCTGTTCTTAAAGCCATTGGAATGACCCTTTCAGACAGAATGAAGGAAATCCAAGGAGAATTGCATGGAAATGAGCATCGCTTGCCCCCTCGTCCATGTTAACTGTGGGGTTAGCCACTTTGTGTGGCATAGCGGTTAAGACCATTGGCTCTGGAGGCAGGTTACAGGGTTGAAATCCCCGCTCAGTGACTTGTCGCACATGAGCTCTCTGGGACATCCCCTCTCTGAACTTCCGTTTCCTCATGTGTTACGTAAGGAAGGGGTATGGTGGGGGCTCCATGAGAGTGTGCCTGCGAAGCCCAGGCCCTGGTGCAGAGCTGCCAGGGCTGGTGTTGGATAACAGCATGGCAGCAGCCTTCCAGGGTAGGCCATTGTGTCCTTATTTTTCAGATGATGAAACTGAGGCTCAAGTAAGTTAAGTTGCCCAAGTTGGTAAAACACAGAACTGAGGATTCCAACCCAGGTCAGATTGACTTCAAATTCCTGCCTTTTCCCTCTTTAAATTACTTCTCCCTTCTCTGGCAGTGGGCTGATGCCCATTATTGCTCCTCTGTAGACCACGGTAGACCAGTTAAATAAATTGAAAGTGACAAGGGAGAAGAAATAACAGTGAATTAATCCACAAGGTTTCTGTTGTGTTAGCTCTGTCTACAGATGAGAAGCATGACCTTTTAAAGAGAGAAAAGCTTAACTTCAAAGTAATGACTGAACAAAATGATATTGTTGAAAATCACAAAACAGTAGATAATGCTGAGTGTCTGCATTTGGTCCTCTGGGGCAAGGGTGCACTGAGGACTGAGTTCAGAAACTAGTGCCCTTGTACAGTGTGCTTAAATTTTTTTTTTAAGAGTTGCCTACATTTAAAAATTGTGAGATTTCATGTTGAAATATGGATTTCTTGCTTTTCTTAAACTTCAGTCTGTGACTCTGGGCCCACATTTGCAGTGGTGTCTTTGGCTGGAGCGGAATATGACTGCCCACTGTAGATGGGCAAATGTGCTCTATTCAACACAGTCTCCACCTCTCCCTATTGCCCCTAACCCTACAGATGGAGTGTTGGTTGCCATTTATATTTGCACTGTGCTGCTGTCTTTCTCATTGTTAGAATCAGGAAAATACTTCTTGTTCCCACATCTTGATATTTTACTTTGGTCCTTTTGGGATCATGGTCCACGATAGAGGAAATACTTTTTTGAACATGTTAAGTTTGTGATAGCTCACTTTATGGAGACCCATTGTCACTTTTCCTATAGTGCTGAATGAAGGCAATGATGTGTCTTTTTCTCTGTTTTGTTTTGGTTTTTGGTGGCTGGCCGGTGCAGGGATCCGAATACTTGACATGTTTTTAACCTAAACTTTAATCTATGTATACAGGCAAATAAATGTACAAATGGTGAGTGTACAGCTCAGCGTATCACTGAGTGACTCCACTCATGCTAGTATAATCTAGGATCAAGGAATAGAACGTTACCAGTACCCCAGAACCCCCCTCCTGCCATCTTCCAGTTATTTTGCCCACCTCCCCCCCAAAAGTAACAACTACCCTGGCTTTTTGTACCACGGATTGCCTGGTTTTGAATGTAATTTAGTATGTTCTCTTTTGTGTCTGGTTTCTTTCACTCAATATTGTTTTGTGAGATTCTGCCATGTTGTTGGTGAACCTTAATTCATGTTCACCTTCATTGATATTTAGTGTTTTACAGTTTATCTACTTTCCTACTAATGGCATTTGGACCATTTCCAGTTTGGGGCAATTATAGGTAGTGCTGCTGTGACTGTTCTTGTACATATTTTTTGGTGAATGAATATATGTGTTTCAGTTCAGTCTAGGAGTAGAATTAATTAGTTATAGGTTACATAAATGTCGAGCTTTAGAGGAGACTGTGGTTATGCCAGTTCATATTTTCTTTTTTTTTTTGGTGGCTGGCTGGTAAGGGGAATTCGTATTTTCATCAGTGGTTTGTACCAGAGCAGTGGTGCCTCCATGTTCCTGCTAACACTTGACATTGTGCCGAGGAGTGTGTAGTGGTGTTTCATCGTGGTTTTAGTTGTCATTTCCTGATGACTAATGCTGTTGATCCCCTTTTCTTAGGCCTATTGGCCATTCAGGTATCCTCTTTTGTAATGCAGGTGTTCAGATCTTTTGCCTATTTTTCTAGTGGGTTGCTGTCTTATTGAATTGTAGGAGTTCTTTATATATTCCGTATACAAGTTCTTCCTAGGATACATGCTTTTCATATCTAATTTATCTGCCCTCTTAATGATATAACTTTTGTATTCTGCTTAAGAAATCTTTGCCTATTCCAAAGTAATGAAGATTATTATACGTTGATTTTCTAGTTCTGTTTTACCTTTTATTTTGATATCTATGGTTTACCTGGAATTAATTTTTTTATATGGTGTGAGAGAGTCAAGATTTTTTTCTCCTTTATCCTTATCCAATTGACTGAGCAACACTTACTATTCTTTCTCAACTGTCCTTATACCACTTCTGTCATAAATCAGGTGTCCATATATTTTTAGGTATTT